TTTTTTTTTTTTTTTTTTTTTTTTTTTTTTTTTTAAGGAATGGCTGAGAAGTCGGAAGCCAGGAAGGAAAGAAATGAATTGCCATACGCGGCTGAATACGCGAAAAGTGGGAGAGCCGTATGTAAAGCTTGTCAGACGAGCATTACTCAGGTGATATTAAGGCTATATTTAGTTCCTCCCTCCGTTCTGTTAGTACTACTTTTACCGCTTTCTGTATTAGGTTAATTGTAACGCTTGTTATGCGAAAAGATAGCTGGGTTAGTTTTTAGGTTAGGCGTTTTATGTTGAGTAGTTTTTAATGATTTTCAGGGAAGTCTTCGTATGTCGATCCGTACACCTAGTCGTTTTTTTGACGGTTTGCAAGACAACTGGTGGGTATCAAATGATCCGCAGTCGACTTTACCGTTTACTTGACTTACTAGAATTTTCAGCATAGTTGGTCATTAAAGCTGGTCAGAATATTTAGTTGCTGTTGTATGATTACAGTTTCATACTGCAGTAGTCTGTAAGAAAAGTACTGTTAGTTGTAAAGAGTTAGATGAATCGAATTTGTAATTTGAAATTCTTGGCGATTTTTGGTTTTTGTGTTTTTTAAAGAGCTGGGAAGGGCTTCAAATATTATTTTTAACATAGGAGTAGTGAGAAATCCTTCTGGAGACATCTGCTGCTTATTTCGCATCAGATTAGGCATAAACTTCTTTTTTGAGCGAATGACAGGAATTCCCCGAAGACTCACATAGTGAAATTTTAAAAAATTTGCTCGGAATTTCAGGTACCATTTTCACTGTTTTTGGCCCCGAATAAAGAGGAACGAAATAAATGAAGCTTCCATACGGGGGATGGATTTTCTGAAATGGGAAGACCAAGAAAAAGTCAGAGAAAAAATTATAGACAATAAAGGTGATGAAATGCCTACCTTTCTGTTTATACAGTATGTACCTCAGTAAAAAGTTGACCGCTTTTGTTTCCTTTTTTAGAGCATGGACTGGAAGGGCCGCCTCCTGCGAAGCCCAAAGTTGAATACGCTAAATCAGCTCGAGGGAAGTGTGCAGGTTGCAAGAATCCAATTGAGAAGGTCTGGACACTTTGAAAGAAATTATTTTTTTTTTGGTTTTTGAACTTCCCAATTTTTTTTCGGTTTTTTTTTCTTCAATTCTTTCGATGTTTTGGGCTCGCACTTTTAAATTTAGTGTCTCAGACACACGCTTTGTATGATGAGTTCAAAAGATTTCTGTAGTCGTTTTGTGTAGGCAAATATTGCTTAGAGCGTGATTTCGACATTTTAAATTGTTTAGAGTTTGCCTTAGGGTTATGTTTCCGGTTTTTGGTATGAGTTTTTTTATTGACTATTTGTTCAGTTTTTTTCAGGGATTTGTGAAGATGGGACTAAAAAATTCGTATTTCCATGTCGAATGCTTCAAACAGGTCCATGCGTCACTTGTTGAGAGTGCTGACAAGTAAGTTTTAATCTTTGGTATTGTGTATATTAAAGCACATTCTGAGCCATTTAGGTTGTTGTTTACGGATAATTTTCATAATTTCATATAAATTCATCTCTTTTTTATTAAACTTAGGTCAGGTGGAGTGGCTAGTGTTAATAATTACTAATATGCGAAATTGCTTATTTTTTAGGATTGATGGGTATGATGATTTGGATGAAGACGATAAGAAGTCCCTTAAAGCAGCATTTCCACCCAATAAAAGGTCCTCTATTATAAAATTTCTTTGTTGAAAAGGTTATTTTAGTGCATTTGTATTATTTTTTGGTCACTTCAGTAAGAAGCGGAAGCCAGATTCTTCTGAGAGCGAAATACCGAAGAAAGCTGCAAAAGTAGAAGATGATAGGGAAAAGCCCAAGAAAAAGTCTTTGCAGGTTTTGTTTTCAACTTATTTGTTTCTAATACTTAGCGTATTTAAAAATATCATATTTAGCTGTTTTTTAGAAACAGGCTGAAAAAGTGTGGATAGTCCGAAAGTGTTTAGAAGATAATTTAAATACAAATGGGATGAAGGCATTATTGGAAGCCAACAACCAGACTCCATCGAAACACAATGTATTGTAATTTTTTAGAGTTTCCGATAGGTATTTAGTTAGCACTTTGAACTCCCTTCTCTGTAAAAGGAATTTTTTGAAAAATTAGTGTAAATTTGAAGAGTTTTAGTTGTTGGAACAGTTAGTGGACTGCATAGTTTTTGGATGCCCTGGAAAATGCGAGCGTTGTGGAAGTCAAATTATTTTTAGGTAAGTTAATTTATATTTTTTTTTTTGCATCTAGTGCTTCGTTATTTTGTGATTCTAACCATAGTTCTCTTAATTTTACCAGTTTTGTTTTATAGTATGACGCAACAGACTTATAAGTGTACAGGTTATGCCACTGCTTATACGAGTTGTAGTTATACAAATAAGAATCCTCATCGTGAGAAATTTGTTTTTCCAAAGGATACTTTGAAGGAGTTCAAGGAACTTTCTGCAATCAAAGCAACTGTGGGTTTCTTTGTGGGAGATAATAAATGACTTTTTGAAAATTTTTAACCGTACTCTTTATAGGAGGTGAGAGATCGTATTTATAATACAGCAGGAGAGGAAGAAATCATTAAGTAAGTCATTGATGTCTCAAATTTCAAAGGGGTGGTGATTAAAATATTTGCGTAAAACAGTTTTTCAAAATTTACAGATTTTGTTTTTCAGACCAAAATCTTTTGCTGCTTACGGTGGTCGGGACAAAGGACCGCAAAAAGGTCCACTAACTCTTAAAATTTCATCTATTTTTATGGACTTACATGGCTCGTTCTGAATTTTAGAACTGTCTGTAGCATAAGCGTTTGTTTACAGGTTCTAGCAAACAAGTTCAAATAATGAAGGATGGCGCAGTTGTGGATTCCAACTGTGAATGTGCTGAAGTGGTCCATGTGTGGAAAGATGAGGAGGGTACTGTATTTTAAATTCTTCCATGCTAATCCCTTTGTAAAGTGAAGTAAAAAAGGTTCCTTATGGATTTTGGGGAACTTTTTTTTTGAATTTTGTCAACTCGCATTTAAAGTTTTTGCGACTGTGAAAGTCCAACTGACCTGAAAACTTTAAGGCGATTTTTGGCAGGCTACATTGGGTTCAACGGATGTTACAAGCAACAAAAATTCTTTCTATAAATTGCAGTTATTGAAACATGACGAGAAAAACAAGTAATACCTTTTGTCCCTCATTCATTTTTGTTTAATAACCTCGTGTTCTCTCACGTACTTTAATTCATATTGCTGGAAGACCTTGATGTTTAGGTATTATCTTTTTCGGTCTTGGGGCCGCATTGGAACCACTATTGGAGGATCGAAAACTGAAGACTTTGGGCATGACCTCAGTGAAGCAAAAGAGGAATTTGAGAGGTATAAGAGTATTTCATGCAAAAAGGGTCCTGTTATTTAAAATAGTTCAGCTTATTTTTGCTTCTGTTAAGGCTGTTCTTGGAAAAAAGTGGAAATAAATGGGAGAATCGGAGTAACTTTCAGAAAGTTCCTGGGAAACTATCTATTTTGGAAACGGAAGTAGCAGACGAGGTACTGAGCAGTCTTCTAGTTTTAACTTTTTTCTTGCTATGTCAGCTGTAGTACATTTGTAATCGTGGGAACTTTTATCAAGTTCGAGCACAGCAGTAGGGTTCATTTTCCAACTTTTCAGTTTTGTGTAGTCTTAGGTTTCTTTTTCACTTGGAGTGCTATTCTAGGTCCGAGGAAGAGAGAGTCTTCAGAGTTGTTAACTAGATTCAAGATACTGGTTGTGGCTTTTGTTCAAAAATTGATTTGTGGGTTATTTCCTGAATGTGGGGGTATTTTTTCAGTTGAATGGTCATTTACCCAAATGTTGCTTCTACAGTAACTTGTTATTTATTCTAACTTCTGATGAAGTAGAAACCGGCGTAGGACACAGCGCTTAGCATTTCTTGCTGATGATGTTTAACAGATTTTAGATTAATAATTTGCCTGTAAATATGGTCTTATCTGTACTTTGTTTCACAACTAAATGCATTACTGATGCCGAACTTGGTTCACCCATCATTAGTGCATTTAGCTTTACCTGGGGAAGGTAAGGTTTCCCGTTGGAGTTTGACATTTTGGAGATTCACTTGATTTCCTCCTCAAATCTGTTTAATTTTTGGTCTGTTGGCAGATTATATGTACTTATAAGTAATTTGGGTAAATGTTTTTTGAGTCATACACATTTGTTAATCTATCATCCAGGTTTTTTTCAGAAAGTCAATGATTTTGCTGTAAAGCCAGGATCCCTAACGAAGCTTCACAAATCTATTCAAGATGTCATGAACATGATTTTTGATATTGAGTCTATGAACCATACCCTGAATGAATTTGAGGTCTTAATTTTCTTGGGTTTCAGTCGAACAGCTACTTTTTAAAATTACAAATTTTCAATGAAATTTCTACCTGTTACTTCTTTTCAGTTTTTCGTCGCTGATTTGTTGGCAGCATCATTTACGTCTTACACTAAACAGTAGTTGTTTAGAAACTTCTGTAAAGTATGGTATGTGCTGTATAACCTTTTTAGATTGATACTGAGAAGATGCCCTTAGGCAAGCTCTCGGGCCGCCAGCTTCGGAATGCGTATAGCGTTCTGAGTGAGCTGCAGGAGGTAATCTTTGGTTTTTTACTTCTTGGTTTGAAGTACTCAGCTTCAAATGCATCTGAGGGAAACCGTGATCAAGTTGATTTTGGCATTTCTTTCGTTTTGTTGCAGTGATTGTTGGTAGCAAAACTGTTATTTGTTTTTTTTGCTTCTGTGATGGTTTCTAGGTTTCAGACTGGTGATATTTTGAATTGTTTCGAAATTTCGCCAATAGTGGATTTTTACGTTTTTTAGTTGGCTGTTTCGGAAATTGAGTGCTCTGAAGCATTTAGTAGTTGAGGCCTGTAGCATTTGTCTGTAAAACTCAAAACTAATTTTTTAGCTGATGTCACACGGTGACGTGACGCATGAGCAGTTTGTAGATGCGGCCAATCGATTTTACACGTTTGTACCTCAT